TCTGAAGGGATCCGTACCAAATGGGAACAAACTGGCTCTTAAAATGAGCATGGAAACACCGAATGTTCCATAAAATCTGGATTGATCTGGGTGTATTTTTGAATCAAGCATTTAGGTCTAACCAAGTTTGGGGAATCCGTTCAAATATTTTCACAGCCGTAAAAATTGTGATAGTCCGTGGCTTATAACCATTTTTTTTAGTGACTATTTGAAATTTACAAAGGCAGTGAAAAAAAAAAATTACAGGCGGTCATTGACTTACAACAGTTTGTTTAGTGACTGACTGTTCAAAGTTACAACGGCGCTGAAAAATGTGATGTCAGGGTTCCGGTGATTGCCCTAATTAAATCATGAGCCTCGAGCCAAGTTTCAAAAGATTTATTAGGAGCAACATGTCCAGCATTAACCCATATGAAGCCAGCTCTGAGACACATAATTTACTATCACCTATGACCCTGTTTCCTCCGTCTCCCTGGGTGTGTCATAAATCAGATTCTCCAACCTAAGCACATTCACAGGCTGGGTGTCATCAATCACATTCTCCAATGAAGGATTTTCTAGGGCAGAAGATCCAGTAGCTTAGGCTACAATCTCCATGCGATGACCCAGGGTGGGGCACAAAAGAAACAAAGTCACAAAAATAGGTAAAGTCCCTTTAATTCTTTCAACTTGTCCTCCAAAGTCCAATTATCATTGACTGGAGAAAAAAACTCTCCCACAAACAGTTGCGAAAAGGAAGAACTTCCATTCAAACTCAAAATACATATAAATTATAAATAGAAAAAAACAACACAAACTACACTGAAGCAATTAATGAGACAAGGCAGGATAAGGGCCTGAAGACGTCCACAGATGTCGAAATACACACACTGGGAAGGACGCCAGAACTCAGATGAGAAGTGACAGACTAGAATTATTTCATGCTTTGCTTCCAGCACTGGGCCATGCACAGTTTCTCCTTTTAAACAGTTCTCCCAGCTGCAGCCTATGAAGGGGATCAGGGCCCTTTCCTCCCCCATAGACCACCCCACTCACGTTTCTCCCTTATCCGCTCCTCCCTGCGTGCCCTAGGATGAAGAGGGGATGGGCCTCGGTGTTCCTCTGAGTTCCCAGCCAGCCTGTGCTCTTCCCTAGTTTCCTCCACAACCTCCAGAGCCACACTCCCACTCCCTGTCAGCTGTTCCTCCTCTCCCTCGGAGTCAGACTCCAACAGGGGCATGACACTCCACAAGATAAGTGTGGAATGTGCTTCTGGCCTTCAACTACTGCACTGCTCCCCCCCTCCTTCTTATGGAAATTCTGAAACGGGCATAGGAATGCTTTACGAGTTGACAAGTGACTTATGACCATTTTTCACACATCCCCAGGTGATCAAAATTCAAATGCTTGGCAACTGGCATGTACTTATGATGGTTGCAGTGTCCTGGGGTCGTGTGATCATTGGTGACCTTTTGACAAGCAAAGTCGATGGAGAAGCCAGATTCACTTAATAACTGCGTTACTAACTGAGCAACTGCAGTGATTCACTTACTGACCGTGGCAAGAAAGGGCTGCAAAAAACGAAGCAAAACTCACTTTTTTTCCTTTTTTTCTAGTTCTAGTTCAAATGTGGTCTTAAGCCGAGGACTAACTGACTTATGGGGGAGGGGATTGTCATTATTTTAAATGAAATGAAACTGTCTAAGAATTGAGCAGAGGCCACAATGGGGACATTTTGCAAGCAAAACCCTGGAGGGCAAAAAATAATCAAAGCATTTGTCTC